GAGAGAGAGAGAGATGTTACGCAAGAATAAATGTACACATTAGGTTTGCAAATACAATACAAGTAGATTACATGTATGCATCTAATCAAATATTGGTAATTTGGTATTACAAAAATTCAATGATTTCAGCAATACTCACCTTATCAGGTTATTGGCAGCTCTTGGTTCTACATTTGAAGCAACCACACTCACTGTAAATCAAAAGTTCCCAAATAAAAAAATCAAACCCAAAGAATTCTTATTTAGAATGAATAAAGTCACAAATTCGGATCTTATTGGCTCTTCATATTCGCAAAAGGAAATCTCTAAAAGGTAACAAGACATTATAGTTCATAACACTAAACTTCTGCATGAACGAGGTGAATTTCAATTAAAAACCCTAAAAAATTTCACCGACGATCCAGGAAATGCAAATTTAAGCTCAAAACCCTAGAAAAACCAGGAAACTGAAATCTCAATTCATTGAGAAGTTCACTTACCGGTAGCGTTCTGATCCGGATTTGATTCTCGTCCTGGTACGTGAATGATTTTCCACTCCATTGAAGCTTAGCCTTTTTACAGTATCCTATTTTGGGGAAATAATATTCTCATATCAATACAATCAATATCAAGACACTTTCTAATGCAATAAACATTGACCATGGAATGTGTTGATAAAATCTAGGAGAGTTACATTTTGGGGAGAGAGAGAGAGTTATAATTTAGAGAGAGAGAGAGAGAGAGAGAGAGAGGTGGTTTTGAAAATGAAGGCAGGTAGAGAGAGACGAAGTGAGTTAGAGACTCGAGGTCTAGAGGGAAATGGTATCCGGGAGTAAATAGATAAATACGCTGCTCGTTTCTTGATGGCACTTCTCTTCCCTTCATTTGGATGGGGAACTTATGTGGTTTCGCGGGACCACCCGCTTCAAAACTTGTGGTTTCGCGGGATCACCGCAAACATTGTTGCCCCCGCGCCAAATCATAACTTGAGAGGCTGTCTTTTACACTAGAATGTTCATCGCTCTCTCTGGCCGCCGATCCCTTTCTCTCTTGCTCTTCAACTCAAGTTCTCTCTACTCTCTCTCTCTCTCTCTCTGCCCTAGCCGAGCCCCTCTTCTCTCTCTTCCTCTGCAACCGAAGCTCTCCACCCTATTCCCTTCTCTCTCTATTGTCCTTACCCCTTTTCTCTCTCTGTAACCCCTTTCTATCTCTCTCTGCAACCAGTCTCTCTCTTGTTGTTGCTCTCTTTCTTCAAGCCCTATCCCTCATTTGTTGCCGCCAGCTCTCTTATCCTTCTGTCCTATCTCTTCAATCCCTTGAAGAAATTTCAGGTGTTTTCTTCATTGTTCCTAAAAGTCATTGTTCGTAATTGCTTTCGATTTTTATCTACATGCTCTGATAATTTTCACTATGACAGAAAAAATAGTCTTATTTTTTATAATATCAGAAAATGGTTTTTATAGTTGCAGAGCATGAGAAAATTGGATTTAAATTGCCTTGGTAAGGTATATATAAAATATTTATTTTGGATTTAAAAGACCGGATCTTAGATTGATGTTCTTGCATTCTTTCATTGGCGTTCATTACTGATAATACTGAGATGTCTAAACTCTAGATTCTTGGTAAGCCATATTTGTCTTTTGACTTTCTATTTTTCTATTTTTGGATTGGTAACACTAGTGATCGATTAGCTGTGTAATGCCCTTTTGCTTGAAATTATCTGTGGGAATCAGTTCATTAGAAAATCCAAGTTTCATATTGAAATTATCTCTAAATCAACTGTTGTTGCTCTAAGGTATGTGGTGTTCAATTAGGAATTGCTTTGCTGGTAATTAATTGGGACCTTGCCATTGAAATCTTATGTTTGTTTTTGCTGGTTAGTAAACTAATGTCCTTGACAAGAATCGCATGTTATTGCCTTCATAGGCCAGTTCATTATACATGTGATCTATTTTACTCCATCAATTGCTAGTTTGCCCTCTTATCTGAAACTTAACAACCAATAGAGTGATCAAAATTAATACACTATGAATATGAAAGGTGGATGAAAGGGGAGAGGGAAAAAAAAATCAATAACTTCCATTCTTAACCATCCATTATGTAAGTAATGACATGGATGGGTTATAAGAGTGATCAAAATTAATACACTATGAGTATGAAAGGCGTATGGAAGGGGAGTTGGAAAAAAAAAATCAATAACTTACATTCTGAACCATCCATTATGTAAGTAATGATATGGTAATGATATGAATGGGTTATAACTAAAAATAATCGAAAGATAAATTTCAACCTCTAATCAATGAGTTTTGTAAGTAATGGTTCAATTAGTTGTTTCCAGATTTCCATGTTAGCAAACATGGGATTATGGGAAATTGCTAGCTGCTGATTTCCCTGGTTTTCATAGATAGGTTACTAGACTAGCGTCCCAGCTTCCAGCTAGCAATTTTCTACTTGCAGCTCCCAGTTTCACAGAGATTCTCCAAGAAAACAACTTTCTCAGTTACCAAACAGGCCCTTATATGCAAGGTTGGCATCGGAGTCTAGGTGTTACCTAATCGCCTTTAGAGCTGTACGTGAATATAAATTTTAATAGTATCATCATCATCATCATTAGAGCCTTTTCCGAACTCTTTAGGGTCAGCTACCTGGTTCCTAATCCGCCATTCTACTCTATTAAGGGCCAACCCTTCAATGAGGCCATAAATTCTGATAGTGTCTTTGTTTCAAATCTGTTGCAGCAACAACATATTTCAATCTAGGAGACCCAATTTGGTTCTCCTCCTCTGACTCATCATTCTCATGTATTATTGTTATGGTTAAGTTTATGTATTGTGGCTGTCTTTCCCATTTCCTCAAATATCTTTCTTCTATTACCCCACTCAGGGTTAGTCTTCTTGTTCTTTATCTCAAGATTTTCCTCTGCATTAGGTTAGTGGCTTCTCTCTCTCTCTCTCTCACTCTTTCTGTTTCTCTCTCTCTACCTAAATTTTGAGGTTTTGGCCTATAGATTGCTTTTTGATGATGTATGTTTACAGGAATAAATGACATTTGATTTCTTCTCAGAAATTTTTTGTGTATATCTCAGTTTGGATATAATCCTTACTTCAATTCTGTGTATATTTTATTTTATTTATTGTCTCTTTTGGGTATGTTCAACTCTGTGTATATTCATTTGGAGATGATCAATACACTATTACTTATAAGGAAAATAAATAATTAAAATATAAAATTGTCTAGATATTGTAATTTGAGTAGTTTTAATGATTTTCAAATGTTCATGCCCCGTTGAATTTCCTCATAACCGCTAATTTGCTAATCTTTACTTTTTTTATTTTTTCTGATAGCTAATACTTTGCTTTGTCAGATTTCTCCTGTCCTTTAGCTCTTGCATTTTTTTTTGTTTTTTTGTTTTTATAGATTACAATCCAATGTTTAGCTAATCCAATGGTGAGCCTGATAAAATTGACATATAATTCCTATGTGCTTCCTATCAGCTATACTAAGATAACCTATAAGTTAACCTTTGTAGGACCTTTACATTGCCATTTAATTTAGCATTTATTGAAACTAATTCTCTTATGCTTCATTCATCGAGATAACCATGTAATTTAAATTTTTGATACCTTCTTATTTGCTATTAAGTTTAGAATATATGGAAGTTAACTGGCAACTAAAACTTAGCACTGTTCATTCTTTTTTCAGTGTGTAAAATAGGCTGGGTGATTCTCACTATTCCATTTAAATGAAGCATATTTTAAAGATTATATCATTGCTCGTAGCAATTTTTGCTATTTGGATCGGCTTCTTGAAACTTTCCATAATTCCTGATTCTCAGGCCTGGTTGGTAAGTCACTGTTCTTTAGTTGTTCATTCATTATATATTAATTCGGTATAAAGGGTACAAACTTATTTTCTTTGGTTATTTATTTTGAGAAGCAGTTGCCAATCTATCTTGTAATATCCTTGGGATGCTATGGTCTATTCATGGTGGGATGGGGTTTGATGCTGTTCCCAACATGTCCACATGAAGCTACGCTGCTAAAAAAGGTTCCTTATTGTTTTTCTAGACTTTGTTCATGTCATCTTTCTGTTCTAGGTTTATATAGCATTCATAGTTTTTCTATATATAAATATTTATTGGGTTTGAACTAGTAATTATCTTAAAGTATGATGTGTATTGATATTTTCTCATATGTCATAAATTGTCCTTAATGCTCCTTAATATTCTCATCTCTTATTACTTGTTGGAAGAACTGATTTAATTTGTTTGTCGGGTTTGAAAGCTGACAAGGAAAACCATGAGATAGTTTATGGTTTTACACTTTAGATGTGATTAACTCCATACATGACTCAAATTTTTTTCGAGGAAGCATGGTTTCACCTTTACCAATTTATTCGGACAGAATAATGTAATGCAAAAACCCAAACAGTTTCTTAGAATTTCAATGTTTTCTTACAAGTGGCCAATATTACATGTTCATTTAAGTTGGTATATTGAAACATTTATCCCACATTGAGCATGTGTTCTTTATAGTATATTGCAAACATCCAAACAGTTAGAATGTCATTCCATTTCTTTTTAAAGTTCAAATAGATATCCTTTGAGTTGGTACTTTCAAATTTTATATTCTTAATAGTCCATTCCTCCTGTGTTTTCTATTTAAGTTTTATTACATTTTCATTCTAGAGGAAAACTTTTGCAAACTATCTCATTGTTAAGACCATTGATTTTAATCAGGCCATAATTTGGGGCTTTCTTTTTTGTGTAGTAGAAACTGAAAGTTTTCTATGATTGTAAAAATTTAAAGAAATACAAAAGCTGCTAGCATCACATGCACCTTTAATGCTTGCATGGTGGGAAACCACAACCAGGCTGTTTATCCCCTTTAGGCTCCTATGGTCTAAAGCTTTATTTCAAGCTGATTGTCAACAGTCAACATGTTCACATTGGAGAGGTCTAGAGCAAATCTTTCAAAAGAAATGCAAATTTTAACTCACAAATCAACTAAAATTGGTAGTTAGTTACTCTCAAAAAAAAAATGGTAGTTAGTTAAATAAAAAAATGAGAACTAGACGTCAGGTGAGTGAGCCAACGTGGAAGCAGTTTTTGGGAACCATGGAAAGGGTTTACAGTTCCAGCTCTGGATGCTTCTACAAGTAGCCAAGCATGTCTTTTTTGTTCTAATCGAAAACCAAGAAGATCCATGTTCTTGTACACATGTTCAAAGAATTTCCACTGGTATGAAATAGCAGAGCTGCAGAAGCCTCTAGTGTCAGACTTTTAAGTGTATGAATGAGAAGAAATAATTGCAATAATCAAGATTCACAACCGGCTTCAGGCTTCTTTATCCCTTCAAACAATTCTTTAGCGTACAGCTTCAAAATAATTTATGGTTCCCATGTTAAGAGTACATTACTCCCACACATTTTCAAAAATATATATGTATTCATCTGCATGTCCACCATCCATTCAAGATTGGTCATGCCAGTAAATGGTAACTCCAGTGGTCTACTGGACAGAGCCTCTTTAGTTTCTCAATCTGAGTCATATCCTTGTTTTACCTCCCATTGTTGTGAAGACAACATGCAAATTCACTTTAAACACTTGCAGTTCCAACTACTACTCATGTATCCATGTCTTCAACTGCTTCAACAGCTTCATTAACTTGCCTCTGGCCATAAGGGACTCACAAGAACTGCCATATTCAAAAAAACAAAAATAAGAAACATAGAGAAAAAATTTTGTAGACCCCAGGTCATATTTACCTGATTTTGTCATCATCTTCAAACGAGTGTTTCCTGTGAGACTCACTCACACACACATGCATATGATGTTCCTAAAAAAAGGAAAAATCCCATTTGCTATTCAAAATGACTTGTGTTTCATTGATCATTTAAACATATTATTAGGCTATCTTTTATAAACACCAACGTATTTTGCAACATGGCCAAATAAACTTTAAAAGTTATCCAAATGACAAGAAACTTCACTTTCAATATGTTTTGGTAAAAATTGTCTGGGGATGACTGTTGCGTTTACCACAGCTTTAGATCATCCATCTATTGAACAATGATATCAACAATTTTAGCTCAAAGTCTGTTTTCCTTTGTTTTACTGGTAAGATCAATCATGGGCTATTTGCAAAAAATGGAGTGCTAAAAATCCTCCATATCTGGTTCTTGGTGGTGTGGTGTGGTCAATGCTATGGAAATTGATTGTGTGAAGCATAGATTTTTCCATAATTTGTGTCTTTCGTAAAAGAGCTAAAACAATCCCATTTGCTTTTCAAAATGATTTACATTTTGGAGAGGGTGTATTGGTCATATTTATAGGCATTTTTCTCTTAACTAATGCATTTTGTAAAATAACAGAAAATCGTAGTAACTTTGAAAGAAGCAAAACACTTTACTTTGAACTGAGGTGATGTATTTGTCATATCCAAAAACAAATTGGTGTGCATGTGTTGGTACATGGTATTCCAGTTACTTTTTTATGCGTGTTTTTTTTTTTATAAAAACAAGAAGTTAAGAAACCAAATCATCATCATCCAAGCCTTATCCCAACTATTTCGGGTCGGCTAAAGTTAAGAAACCAGATGTAGCAGCCAAATAAGATGGATAGTGCCTTGCCTATTCCGAATATATGATTGATTTGGGATAGTGTACCCTATGGAGTCAAAATCAACAGAAACGGTCAAATATCTGCGACTTTGAGGTCAAATATCTGTGACTTTGAGGTCAAACATCTGCAACTTTGAGGTTTATGGCAACTTTGATATATCAATGCTTTAAAGAGTACACCATGAAGGGAGTAGCCTAACAAAGCAAACCCCCCCCCCCCCCCCACACACACACACACACACACATGTATATATATATATATATATATATATATATAGTAAGTAGTAGTAGTACGTTCGTCGTACGTACGTACGTACGGTACGTACGTACTACTACGTACGTACGTCGTACGTACCGACCGTACGTACGTACGTA